GATCCTTTTGGTTATATCTTGGTTTAGTAGAATGAAGTTTTAGTATGATCTAGCCTTGAGTTTTGCTTTGTGTTCCCTCTATGAAATCGAGTCCTAGAGTTATATAATAAAGATTAGTTTTGAGTTGAGGGCTTTGCTTTCTTGCTATGATCTTGAGTAAAAGAAGTAAACAAATAAAAGAAATAAAAAGATTATATAATGATCTTATGGGAAGTGATGACTTCACATATAAGAAGTATGTCGCATGAAATTTGTTGGGAGTTGACAAACATAGTTTTGGTCATTGTTGCAACTAATACGAAGTAATAAAGAAAGAGAGGTCTCACATATAAATACACTATATTGGACATCTTTTGTGATTGTGAGCACTCATAAAATATTATATGCTAAAAGGTTGATGTTGGACAAGGAAGATAACATAATGGGTTATATTTCTTTATATCCGAATAGATGTTATATTGTCATGGATCCTCCAACATGTTGAGCTTTCTTCTCATCCTATGCTAGCCAAATCTTTTGCACCAAGTAGAGATACTACTTGTGCATCCAAAATCCCTTAACCCAATTTTGCCATAAGAGTCCACCATATCTACCTATGGATTGAGTAAGATCCTTCAAGTAAGTTATCATCGGTGCAAGCAATAAAAATTGCTCTCTAAATATGTATGATATTTTAGTGTGAGGAAAATAAGCTTTATACGAACTTGTGATATGGAAGAAATAAAAGCGACGGACTGCATAATAAAGTTCTTTATCACAAGCGGCAATATAAAGTGACGTTCTTATGCATTAAGATTTTGTGCATACAACCATAAAAGAGCATGACAACCTCTGCTTCCCTCTGCGAAGGGCCTATCTTTTATTTTACTTCCTACCCTTATACAAGAGTCATGGTGATCATCACCTCTTCTTCTTTTTATACCTTTTCTTTTTGGCAAGCACTTTATCTTGGGGAAGATCCATATTATTGTTGATGTTACCCTTGAGGTAAAAGGTTGGGAGGTGAAGTTATAAGCCCCTATCTTTCTCTGTGTCTGATTGAAACTTTGGTCTCATAAGTATCACGTGAGTGTTAGCAATCATGAAAGATTAAATGATGGCTGAGTATGTGAAACTTGCTAAATAAAAGCTCTTACATTTGACTCTTTCCAATGTATGATAAATTGCAATTGTTTCAATGACCAAGTCATAGTTTGTTGGTTTTCAATAAAGTTCATGATTTATACTTTACCTTGTGAACGAATTGTTACTTTAGCATAAGAAATTATATGATAATATATGTTGTTGTTATAAATATGATCATGATGCCCTCATGTCCGTATTTTATTTTATCGACACCTCTACCTCTAAACATGTCGACATGATTATCGATTTCGGTTTCTGCTTAAGGACAAGCGAGGTCTAAGCTTGGGGGAGTTGATACGTCCATTTTGCATCATGCTTTTATGTTGATATTTATTGCATTATGGGTTGTTATTACACATTATGGTACAAAACTTATGCATTTTCTCTCTTATTTTACAAGGTTTACACAAAGAGGGAGAATGCTGGCAACTGGAATTCTGGACCGGAAAGGAGCAAATCTGAGAGACCTATTCTGCACAACTCCAAAAGTCCTGAAAATTTACGGAGAATTATTTTGGAATATATAAGAATTATTGGGCGAAGAAAATACGAGAGGTGACCCACCAGGTGGCCACAAGCCTGGGGGCGCGCCCCTAGAGATTGTGGGCCCACTGACAGGTCTCCGGTGTCCATCTTCTACTATATGAAGGGTTTTTACCTGGAAAAAATCATAAGAAAGCTTTTGGGACAAAGCGCCACCGTCTCGAGGAGGAACCTGGGCAGAAGCAATTTAGGGCTCCGGCGGAGCTATTCTGCCCGGGAAACTTCCCTTCGGGGGGGGGGGAATCGAAGCCATCGTCATCACCAACGATCATCTCATCGAGAGGGGGTCAATGTCCATCAACATCTTCACCAGCACCATCTCATCTCAAACCTTAGTTCATCTTTTGTATTCAATCTTTGTCTCAAAACCTCAGATTGGTACCTGTGGGTTGCTAGTAGTGTTGATTACTCCTTGTAGTTGATGCTAGTTGGTTTATTCGGTGGAAGATCATATGTTCAGATCCTTAATGATATTTATTACTCCTTTGATTATGAACATGAATATGCTTTGTGAGTAGTTACGTTTGTTTCTGAGGACATGGGAGAAGTCTTCTTATAAGTAATCACGTGAATTTGGTATTCTTTGATATTTTGATGAGATGTATGTTGTCTTTCCTCTAGTGGTGTTATGTGAACGTCGACTACATGACACTTCATCATGATTTGGGCCTAGGGGAAGACATTGGAAAGTAGTAAATAGATGATGGGTTGCTAAAGTGGCAGAACCTTAAACCCTAGTTTATGCGTAGCTTCGTAAGGGGCTGATTTGGATCCACATGTTTCATGTTGTGGTTAGATTTATTATAATTCTTCTTTCATAGTTGCGGATGCTTGCGAGAGGGGTTAATCGTAAGTGAGAGGCTTGTCCAAGTAAGGACAACATCCAAGCACCGGTCCACCCACATATCAAATTATCAAACTAACAAACGTGAATCATATGAGCATGATGAAAACTAACTTGACAGTAATTCCCATGTGTCCCCAGGAGCGCTTTGCTTCTAGAAGAGTTCGTCCAGACTTATCCTTTGTTACAAAAGGATTTGGCCACCTTGTTGCACCGTTGTTACATTTATTACTTGTTACCCGTTACGAATTATCTTATCACAAAACTATTTATTTCCGATAATTTCATTGCTTGCAGAAAATACCTTACTGAAACCGCTTGTCATTTCCTTCTGCTCCTCGTTGCGTTCGATACTCTTACTTACCGAAAGGACGATGATAGATCCCCTATACTTGTGGGTCATCGCGCCTCCGATTGTAGTCACGCACGTCACACAGTGATGGCGTGCGTCATGCCAATGGATCCGACTGGGGGCACCCAGCGCCACTGGAACGCTGCCGACGCTCGGGCGCCATCCAAACGGCAGCCCCGCATTCGGCGACGCGACGATGCCCAAGTGGGCGAGCCCCCACCTCCTCCGTGATGAGGTTACCCTTCATCATCGCCACGGAGACTGGGAGGTGGACGGTGGTTGCTAGGGTTTGGGCGTGGTGTGGGAGGTGGCGGCGGCTACTACTATAGGCGCAGGTGAATATGATGGGCACACCTGATATGGCGAGGAAGGGGTTGGGTGGACACGGGTGGGGGACTAATGCTGCCATTGATGGGCCTCGGAATCCCCACCAGTGATGCATGTGGAAACCGCTGCATCGGGGGACGTGGTTGAACGACTAACCGACTGCGGCCTTCCACACATCAACGCTACATACTTACGGTACGACCAAGTGGGCGTACGTATGGTACGTGACACGTTGTGTGTGGGCGAGGTCGGGCGGGCGCCAACTTTTTTAATAATAACCATCATACCTTTTATTATGGCAGGATATAGGCAGCGAAATTACTACGATAAATTCTGCTGCAGTTGTTGTATGACTAGATAATGAATGGCGAGGATTCTTCCCAGAGATGCCGTCAACGCTGCCCATTATGGGTTGTACGTGTTGAAGTAATTACCGCGTCCGTCGATGTCGATGTGTTTAGAGGGGAGTGTCTTAATGCTAGTATTTGTTAAAAAAGGTATTTCGATTTAACTGAGTGCGCAACTAAAAATATAAATCAATCAGCCGGATAATGCTCTCGAAGTCTGGTCCCAGTTGACCTGTTCACCGCGATAAGCTCGACGCAAGACCAACGACTTGCCTAGCTTCGCAAGCAACGCAACCGATACCTCCGCGCCCGTCCACACGATCACGATCCGACGGGGCCGCCTCCCCCGCGGCCGCCTGCTCTCGACAGCGACGTCGACTCGTCGATGCGGGGGCGGAGACCTAGAAATGCTGCCCTCCGGCCCCGCTTCCTCCCCAAATCCGGCATTGGCGAGCTTCCGCAATCCCAAAAAAGGTCTCAGCTCGATCGATCTTCTTGCGCACCCTCTATTTTTGTGGTTAACTTTACTGCGCGAATGTTGCGATGCTTTCGATCGTTTAGAGCTTAGGCTTTGGTTGGCCAATGGTTCGTTTATGTTTAGAATGGGGATCAGCAGATGGTTCACTTGCTTGGTTGCCAACTTGCTTTACTTATACAACACACAATTTTACTGTGAAATGTTTGCTCTAAGCAGTCTATGTGTATGGCACGCTTTTGTTGCTATTTTGCGGAAATGCCCCTTTACCGTACTGTCTGTTACTCTGTTCTTTGTCCCTTTTAAGCCGGTTCCTGCATGCATTACTTGCTTCAAGCCTTGTTGTATGCTCTGCAAGTCTGACAGCTTCTCATGTCGGCCGAACATTAGTACACTATACTATAGTGCCAAGTGAAATGTTTGATGACTATTCCCCAATTCATAGGTTATTGTCACAGTTTTCGTTTTGGTACACTATGCCTTGTATATTTGTAGCAATTTGTTTTCATAAAGTTCCCTAAAAAAAGTTGGTTTCGGAAGGAGTGTTCAGGATGGCCTCTAGCGCAACTTAATTCGGGCCAAAACATTTCAATTGATTCCTTAAAGTAAACGTTTCAATTACTAGGGAAAAAATTCCTCAGGGCATATACAGTAATTAATTCAGTATACATTATGTGTATTGCTTTGATGGATGGCAAGAGAATGACAGTTCTGTGTTGCTTGTCCGCGATGAAGTGCAGCCCTGCAAAGTAAACTGCAAAATACAATACCCCTGTCGCAATCTGTTGGTGCTAACTTGTATTCTGGTCTTCTCTTGGCTTCACTTCTACTCCTACATTACTGCCCTGACTTAATTAATGTTTCATGTTCTTGCTTCTTCCCTGTCCATTGTAACTTTGATGCTCTGTGTTTCTGGGGTTGCAGTATATGTATTTGCGCAGAACGATCAATTAGTTACTGCTTTGGTTTCAGTTGTGACAGGTCGCAATGGCCGTCCCAAGAAGGTCTTTGGATGGCAGGTTGTTCTGGGTGCTGGGCCTTGTTTGTGCCATGTATCAGATATTTTTTGTTCGGTCAGCAGCGGGTCAAACAGCACAGTTGAGTGTGAATGCTTCACCTCAGAATACTCAGATGATTCCTGAGAATATGTTTGGCATCTTTTTCGAGGTCAGGTTAATTTTTAACTGTTGATTCATACATTGATTTTGAGTAGTTATATGAGCCACATATACTAGTAAATTCGTTCTCATACCCTATCAACACCATGCCTGTGCAGAGAGGGGCATGCTTTGACAACGTTGGACGATTTACTTGGCCAACTCAACAAACTCTGTGTTAGATGGCTACATATAGCCAACTGCAGCCCGCATAAATATTTGTATGATTGTGTGTTACTTTTGCATGTATAATTCACGAGCTGTAGAATTGCAACAAATAGATGTGATTCAGGATTTCAGTTAGTGATTACCCATGACTGTTTTCTGCAACTGAGGGACAATTTATTTGTGGCGGGACTAGCCAGCAAACCTGTTGGCTGCTTATTTCTCTAAAAGAATTCATGCAGCCGAACCTTGTAATACAGTGTTAGAGGTTATTTAGTTTTTGTACTTGGTTGAGGATTGTTGCTTATTATTGGTTTTACTTGTAGGAGATTAATCATGCCGGGGCTGGTGGGTTGTGGGCCGAACTTGTAAATAATAGAGGTAATGTGTTCTGATATCTGAGGTGTCAAAGATATACATGCACTTTGGTTTGTCTGATTGAAGTGGGTGCTCGTCATTTTGGCACTTCTTGGCGTATTACCTGCCATAGTTCAAAATTTTCACTTATAGTTAGTTTCCAGGGAAATTACTGCAGGGTCATAATCCTCTTTGCTCGAATTAACTGCTACTGATCTCTTTTGTAACTGTAGATTGTTTAATGAAAAGCTACTGACTAATTGTTTGTCTCATTCTGTTAATTACAGCTCTGTTACAACATTAGGTATTAGCGGCGACTAATCATTTATACATAATTCTTGTATGTGGTGAAGAGTTGTTTAGAGGACATGCAATTAGAAGTAGATAATGAGCTACACATTCTGTCCTACATTTGTGTGGTTCCCTTATGTTGGTTCTGTTTTATGTGCAAATCTCTAACAATTTAAGTTGCAGGTTTTGAAGCTGGTGGTCCTAATACTCCTTCAAACATTGACCCATGGTTGATAATTGGAGATGAATCGAACATTATTGTTGCAACCGACCGCTCATCCTGTTTTGCAACTAATCCAATCGCACTTCGGATGGAAGTACTTTGTGAATCTAGTGGAAATGATGTCTGCCCACCAGGAGGTGTCGGTATTTATAATCCTGGTTTCTGGGGCATGGTATGACTTTTACTTATCTAATCCAAATTCAGGATTCTGAATCTCATGTGACTTGAGCTTTTCTCATTTTCCATATACCTATTTAATACCAAGAGACAAGATATTAAGATCCATTAAACCTGGATCTTTTGCAGTCACTACTCATTAGTGACACACTGCTCACTGCATTAGGGTTGATACAGTATCTGTTATTTTCTTCTTCCTTTTAAACTTTTATATGTGAACAATATAAGTTTGTTTTGAGTATAACAATAAGAATTGCTTTCGCTACCGTGGTTGTAGAATATTGAGGAAGCGAAGGTTTATAAAGTCAGCATGTACATCAGGTCATCAGACTCCATGGATCTAACAGTTTCCTTGACAAGTTCAGATGGTCTTCAGAATCTAGCTGCTTATACCATCACGTAAGCAATATTGTGGTTTAATTTACCTACAGTTCAGCATTTATTATTACAACTATGGCTATGTTTGTTCTAATTCTTTCTTCTGTAGGGCTGATAAGGAAGATTTTAAAGAGTGGACGAAGGTTGAGTTTGATCTGCAATCAAGTGAAAGAAATTCCAACTCAAGGCTTCAGCTTACAACCAGAACAAGTGGCATTGTTTGGTTTGATCAAGTATCACTTATGCCATCTGATACTTACATGGTAATTTATTTTCCAATTATTATCTGGATATCGTCCTTTTCCTTTTGTATCATAACAGATGGCATGTTTTGACTGCGAAGTTCCCTTGCATCCACTAGAATTGAGAAACACAACATAGCAGTAAATATATATTCGATTATGCAACAACTATTTATGTTTCAATTATGAATTCAGATATCCATATTTTTTTTTACGACTCAATGAACTTAAGTTATTTGTCCATGGACAGCTTTGGCTCTGTAAATACAAAATTCTGTTGTGCAATTAACAACTATTTATGTTTCAGTTATCATGTCATAAATAAATCTAAACATTTAATAACCTGAGACCAGAGTTCTCACTAAACTTAGTTTGGGTACATGTATACGTATTGTTCAGCAAGCAGTTCTAGTAGTTCGCATTCAAATGTTTCTTAATACAGGTGCATTGGTCATAATTAAAATTGCACGGTGTACTTTTATGATACTTTTACCCCTGGAAATATCCACAAGATATCAAGTTATCTATTTGTGTATCTTTTGTAGCATTATCAATTTGTTCTTAATTTGCATATGACATATAATTTAAGAAGAAAAATGAATATTATCTAGAGTTTCCATCATTAATTACAATGTATCTTTCGATCATTTTCCTTTTCAGGGGCATGGTTGTCGTAAAGATCTTGCGTCTATGCTGGCAAATCTAAAGCCTAAATTTTTGAAATTCCCAGGTTTGTCACTGTTCTTTTCATCTTTCATCTGTGATTCATATCAAAAGGTGAAGATATTATGCCTTGTAGTTAATATGTGGTAGAAGTTCCATGATTTTTTGCACTACAAGATTGTACAGTGTACTGTGAATATTGTACAATTTCTATGTCTAAAAGCCAGCTTACGTTTTCAAGTATTCAATGACATATGTTAATTGTTCTTTTTTCTCAACCATGTATTTCTGCACTTAAGAGTACAATATTAGACTGGGTAGACTCGTGGTAATGAACTAAACTAGTACTGTATTAGATACATATTCTTCTCTCTATCATTATATGTGCTATGACTGAACGAAGATACCTTGTAAAATTATAAGCAACTGATACTATCAGTTGCCACTGAATCATCTTGGTTGACACAAAACTTCTTCACACACAGTTTATGGGTTTGGCATAACAAACTGCATGAACATGATTTACTACGCGGATAAAAGTTCACTCTAGAAAGATTTTTTTCATTTTCTTGCTTCAAATGCTCTGGCAGCATACCAAACAGGCTATTGGCGCTTAGGTGTTTTTGAGGTTTCAAATAATCATTTGATTTTTCCCTCAGTATATGTAGCTGTGGTTGGTAGATTTTGTAACATAAACTGTATAAAGAAGTTGTGTGTCGAACAACATGATTCAGTGGCAAGTAGTAATAGTCAGTACAATAAGCTCTGAAGATTTTGTAACATAAGGTTAAAACTAAGAAAATAGGTTAAAGCTCAGTTGTGATTAAACATTGATTTCTGGAGATTGATAGTATGCTGATTACATGTTTTAGGTGGAAACTATGTCATGGGAAACTATCTGTCAAATGCATTTCGCTGGAGTGAAACTGTTGGACCCTGGGAGGAGAGACCTGGTCATTTTAATGATGTTTGGGGCTACTGGACTGATGATGGACTTGGATTCTTTGAGTTCCTTCAAGTGAGTAAAAAACCCTACTGCTTGACTTCGATCTGGAAATCGTCAGACAATTGCAAACAGTCTAAAGCTGAGATTTGTTATTTTATTACTGTAGTTAGCAGAAGACCTTGGTGCTTGCCCAGTTTGGGTGGTCAATGATGGTAATTACTATGTGTAGGAAGTAAAAATGATTGTTTGCTAATCTGGTGATGTGATCAATTCTTTTCATTGTGGCAGGGGCTAGCCGAAATGAACAAGTGCCATCTGCCACAATAGCTGCTTTTGTAAAGGTATGTTCTTGAATATTGTTATATACATTTTTTCACGTGCCATGTTCTGTATCTATTCCTCCCTTAGTAGGTTTTCTTATTTTCTGAGCATTAATCTAACAAAGTAAAGATTACAATTGCCTATTTACTCTCTTTACTGAATTTATTCTCCAATAATAAGGAAAGAATTACACGATAAATGAATCATCCATTTATTTTAAAAGCCATCTCAGTAAAGAACCAAGTAGAATAGAAAATTAAATACAGACATAATCTTGTCACTTAGGATTCAGAAATGGCATCCCTAGGGTGAATAGTCAGAATGGAATCTGCTAAATATAATCATATATTTGTGCTTAGGCAATGTATTTTTTATAGAAACAAGTGCATATTGCTAATTACTATATTTGGATGCATAATTGAACAATCACTTGGTCTATATTCTGTCTGTTACTACAAATCTCTAATGTCTAGGCTACAGTCTGGCATGAATATCTGGGAAATGACTAAATATATATCAAAAGTCAAAATGGAATATCTTACATGCCTAGCTGAAGGATGCCATGCATAATGATCTTAATTAGGATTGCGAGTAAGTGATGTTTCTTAACAATACTTGTTTCCATTTGTAAGAAATTGTTGTTATTTGAATTTCTTTGCTTTTGCAGGATGTTGTTGACGGCATTGACTTTGCGAGGGGAGACCCTGGGACTTCATGGGGTTCAGTTCGTGCAGCAATGGGACACCCAGAGCCCTTTCAGCTTAATTATATTTCTATGGGAAATCAGGAATGCTCAATGCACTACTATAAAGGTTAATTTATATATCTCTTGGTTTCTTCACATTTTCTTCATGGATGGCAATACAGGAAAGCAACCTTTATCGAAGCTGCATTTAAACAAATATCTCTGAGTTTTCTCTTGTCTGTACTTGTAGAGAATTACCGCAAGTTCTATTCTGCAATAAAAGCATCCTACCCAGATATCAAAATCATATCCAGCTGTGATAGATCTACCATTTCACCGGTCGAACCTGCTGATCTGTATGATGTTCATGTAAAGACTGTTGCTTGGTCTTCACTTAGATAAAGTATATATATTCAGCTTTAAATAAATGAATAATACGTTGGCAATGTTTCACATTCGCTCTGTGGTAGGTCTATACCTCATCTGGTGATATGTTTTCCAAATCTAGCATGTTTGACAGCACACCCCGGGGCGGACCGAAGGTACGAGCATTAACATCAATTCTCATACTTACAACTAACCGATACCCTGTGTAAATTTTAGGCAATTGTTAGTGAATATGCTGTGACCGGAAATGATGCTGGCCGAGGAACACTAGTAGCTGCTCTAGCTGAAGCTGCATTTCTTATTGGATTAGAAAGAAACAGGTTCTTGTATTCTACTTCTGGTTTGGCATCATGGTGATGATAGCAGTCATTTTGAACTTGCGTGTTTTACCAACTTTTTGTACGCAGCGACGCGGTTGAAATGGCAAGTTGTGCTCCACTCTTCGTAAATGACAATGATCACAGGTAAATGATTTAACTTCCTGAATCAATAAATCAGTCACAGTGTACTTCTGGAAACGTGCCACAGTTTGTCTACGTGAAGTTAAGCTAAAATTTTGGATAATCCATTGACTTGAATTCTGTAGAGAGATGGAAGGATGGTAGAAACTAGGGTTCTACCGGGTCTAGGCCGGAGGTTGTAGGGGAAGGAGGGAGCTGGTCGTGGACGAACTCGCGGACGGCGGCGGCTGGGCGCCGTCGTGCGCGAGGAGGCGGCGGCTGAGAGGAAGATGGCGCAGGGAAGGAGGCGGCTAGGGTTAGTTCTCCCGGCTCCCTAAGGAAGCCGAGAAAATATGATTGCTTCTTTGCTTGATTAGATTGATACATCTCCTCTCCTTATATAGAGAGGTTTACTTGACTCCCAAGCCCCTAATAACGATAATTGGGCTAAGCCCCTAATAACGATAAGATAGACTGGGCCACAACTAACTGGGCTAAGCCCCTAACATGCCGGTCATAACACTTCTCCCCGCCTGCACAAACAGCTCGTCCTCGAGCTGGAAGGCGGGGAAGCGCTTGCGGAACTCCTCGAGGTGATCAACCGTCGCCAAACACCTCCACGGCAGCTGGGGCGGGCAGGTCGCCGAGCCCGGCGGTGGCGTCCTCCTCCTCAATGTAGTCCGCAGCCTCCAGGTAGAAGAGTTGCGGGCAGACGTGGCCGGGCGCGTAGGGCTCGTCGCAGTTCAAGCACAACCCTTGGTGGCGACGCTCGAGTTGCTCGGCCGAGGTGAGCCGGCGGGACGGGCGCGCCGCGATCGCGGCGAGGGGTGCCGTGGAAACCTGAGTAGGCCGACCCTGCGCGGGAACGTCCGGCCCGGGTGGCGGCCCAGCGGCCCGGGACGGTGATGCCTGCTGGATGGCCACCGCGCGGCGCTCGAATGCGCGGGCGTAGTACATGGCCGTCTGGAGGTCCTGGGGTCCCCGCAGCTCCACGTCCACGCGGATATGATCCGGCAGACCGCCGACGAAGAGCTCGGCCCGCTGGCGAGCCGTTACGCCGGGCGCGTGGCACGCCAGGGCCTAAAAGCGGTCGGCGAAGTCCTGCACCGTGGAGGTGAAGTGGAGGCGGCCGAGTTCCGCCAGCCGGCTCCCGCGTATCGGCGGCCCGAAGTGAAGGAGGCATAGCTCGCGAAAGCGCTCCCATGGGGGCATGCCGCCCTCGTCTTGCTCGAGGGCGTAGTACCACGTCTGTGCGGTGCCCCGAAGGTGATATGAGGCGAGCCAGGTGCGTTCCGACGCGAGCGTGCGTTGCCCCTGAAAGAATTGCTCACACTGGTTGAGCCAGTTGAGGGGGTCCTCGGCGCCGTCGTAGGTGGCGAAGTCGAGCTTGGCGAAGCGCGGCGGTGTCTGAGCATGACCGCAGTGAGCGTACGGCTCGGCGGTACGGAGCAGGGAAGAGGATGGCGTCGGGCCGGTGTGCACAGGTGGTCCGCTGGGAAGCAGTGGCCCGGCCAAGTAGAGGCATATCCCCTGGACGGCTGTGACAAGATCGTTGAGGACGCCGGTGAGTTCCGTCGGGGAGTAGACCAGCGGCGCGGTGGAGGGTGGTGGCGACGGACCGGTGGAGGGGGGCGGCGACTGACCGGTGGAGGCGCCGGCGGTGGAGCCCGGCGGCGCGGTGGGGAGGGCCAACGGCGCGGTGGAGAGGATCGGCGGCGGTGCGGTGGTGGTGGGCAGCGGCGGAATTGGTGGTGCTGAAGACATGGTCGAAACCGAGCTACCTGATACCAAACTGGTAGAAACTAGGGTTCTACCGGGTCTAGGCCGGTGGTTGTAGGGGAAGGAGGGAGCTGGTCGTGGACGAACTCGCGGCCGCCGGCGGCTGGGCGCCGTCGTGCGCGAGGAGGCGGCGGCTGAGAGGAAGATGGCGCAGGAAAGGAGGCGGCTAGGGTTAGTTCTCCCGGCTCCCTGAGGAAGCCGAGCAAATATGATTGCTTCTTTGCTTGATTAGATTGATACATCTCCTCTCCTTATATAGAGAGGTTTACTTGACTCTCAAGCCCCTAATAACGATAATTGGGCTAAGCCCCTAATAACGATAAGATAGACTGGGCCACAACTAACTGGGCTAAGCCCCTAACATGCCGGTCATAACAAAGGATATCTAGAGAGAGAAATACACTCGTACATCATTACAATTTTTCTACTGATGCCTGTGCCATCCATGAGAATACGTTTGTGCTTAATAATAGGTGGAGTCCAGATGCCATAGTCTTCAACTCATGGCAGCACTATGGATGTCCAAACTACTGGATGTTACACTTCTTCAAGGAGTCAAGCGGCGCGGCACTTCATCCATCTACCATTCATGTATCGAACTATAACCAACTGGTCGCATCGGCTATCACGTGGCAGAATTCTAAAGATGGAAATACCTACCTAAAAATAAAGGTGCATTTATTCCCTTGTCCCGGAATTAAACTGAGCTGATGAAAATTGAAATAACCAAATCCGTTTATGTCAGGTTCTCAATTTCGGCAACAAGGCTATAGATCTTAGTATCTCTATAACTGGGCTGGAGAATGAGGTTCAGACATTTGGATCCATAAAGACGGTACTTACATCTGGTTCCCTACGGGATGAGAACTCCTTCCAGCAACCAGACAAGGTATGCTACATTGACTTGTTGTCAGTAACCGAAATTCAATTCAGAATTGTTCCGTGTTGGATTAGTAGCTGTAGTGGTGCTTGTAAATTGCAATGTTCATAATGTTTTGTCTTGAACTTTTGTTTGGAATGCAATAGGTGGTGCCGGTGGAAAGCCCGATAAGCAATGCGAGGGAGGAGATGAGCCTTGTACTGGATCCATACTCCCTCACCTCGTTTGATCTCCTCTTGGACCTGAAGTCAAGCTTGCAGATGATGCATTCAGTCCCGGAGTCAAGCTTGCATTCAAGTATGTGAATACAAAAAGGAATGCGATAGACGAGAGAGCTGTCTCCCAATGCAAAACATGAATTTGGATTAAACATAAACTAATATGGCCGTGTGTGGATGTATACACATAAATACGCAGGTTAAAGGGCAAGTGATTATGATTATCGATATGGTTCAGACTCTAAAGCTTAAGAACATGTCCTCCGTCGTAGTCTAGGTGGTTAGGATACTCGGCTCTCACCCGAGAGACCCGGGTTCAAGTCCCGGCGACGGAAACTTTTTGCCGTTTTTGGCGAAAAAGATTTCCTATATTTTTGAAAGGAACTGCGTCCTTCAAACGACAGTATTCACAAACATGTCGAAAATATTCTCCGATGCTCCCGCTGCGAGCAATCATTGACGCGCACCACTACGGCAGAGGTTTCCTCCTTCCTTGGCCCTCGTGCTCGTGGCCATCCTAATAAGGGAATCTATTCTTAACCCGCTCCCAATTTTAAAATTCCAAATTTCTCGCTCGCCTCCTCCATATAATCCCGGCAGCTGGAGAATCTCTCGCGGTCGCGGCCACGAAAGCACCGGAGGCAGCCACCGCCTCTGCTCGCTCCCCCCAACGCCCGCCCATGGCTCCGGCTCCGGCTCCGGCTCCGGCGTCCAGCGGCCGCATCCGGCCGTGGCTGGTGGTTGGCGACCTGGTCCTGGCGGTGCTGTGGGTGTGCGCGGGCGCGCTGGTGAAGTTGGCCGTGTACAACGTGCTCGGACTTGGGGGCCGCCCGGAGGGGGAAGCCGCCAAGGTCTCGCTCTCTGTCGTCTACATGTTCCTCTTCGCCTGGCTCGAATCCGCCACCGGCGGCGCCTCCTACAACCCGCTCACCGCCATCTCCGGCGCCCTGGCCTCCCGCGGTGGCCTCGCCCTCTACCTCTTCACCGTCTTCGTACGGGTCCCTGCGCAGGTGATTAGTCGCTCTGTCTCGTCCTTTCATCTCTCTCTCTCTCTCTCTCTATATATATATATTAATATACTTGAGACTTGAGAGGAACACTTACCTATTCTTTTCAAGAGAGGAGCCGTCACAATCTGACCAGTACTCCTACCTATTTGAGGGCCATATGATCTTATAATATACTAGTATCTCATAACCAATCCATGAGGTATTTTCGTTGCTACTCTATGCTACTACCATCGACATGCATTTCTTCGATATTGGACAACTTTGTTACAACGGGCAGCTATAGCAAGTGGTGCCAAAATGCCAAAATCTGAACATGACACTAGTATTTGACCACATTATGGATGCCCTAAGCTAATACGTAGTACTATATTTTTCGCTTTTATGTTATGGGCACACGTGGATACATATAATATTAAAGAACAGAAAAGCTTTTTTTTTTGAGAATTTTTCATTCATATCACGAATCAGTACAAAGTAGTTTGACCCTTACAAACACACTGAAATGCAAACACAAAGGACCATGAACACCTAGAGTACCTTAAGACAACCATAACACAAGATCTCCGGAGCCTAGTGTCATCATCCCTGAATCTTGAGAGAAGACCCCTGCACCAAAAGGATCTGCAACCAGTCGCAAACAGGTCATCATCTTCGACCATGGTACAATTGCCGCCACGCTGCTTCCTCCTTTCTTGACACCAGCGCTGAGGGGGCATGGGCATCAATCCAACACACCTGCAACAGCCGTCGCCATCTTTGGCTTTGAGTACTGCGAAAAGTGTCCCTTCCGAAAGGAAGAGAACTCGAGTCATCCGACCGGTCTAGCACCGCGGCCGGGCTATCCGCCCGGGCAAAGCAGGATCTCCCACCAGCATCAGCGCAGAGGAAGAAGAAGAACAGCAGTAGCAAATCATACCAACAAGGAAGAAGAAAGGTCTTCGTCTCGCTGCATCCATCGCCCATCTGAGGACCCAAACGGCCAGTGCCGATGGACCTCCAGCCACCATAGCCCGCGACCTCGACGAGATCCGGGGATCCCCAACCCCGCTGGCTCCTAGACACAGGCAAAAGCCTCGCCTGACCGCGAACGGAGCCCGGAGAAACTTATTCCGACGCGACACCACCGCAACAGCCTCGGCAGCGTCTCCCTCAACCCTAACCCTACCACACACCCACCTAGCGAACAGACCCGAGGTTCCCCTCCCTCCCGCCGCCGGAGCGGCCGACGGAGAGAGAGGGAACCGACGGCGTCACCGGCGGCGCGCAAGGGAAACCTGGTCGCCTCCTTGATCGCCTCGTGCGATCCTATAATCGTGGGTCCCTTTCTGGCAACTGTGTTAAGTTTTTACTAAAGGATAAAGAACAGAAAGGCTTTGTAGGTAATTGTGTGGGCAAAATCTGTGGGCATGTGGCATAATGCAGTACTATTAATCTGTGGTCAATTTTGTCACTTCAGATGTGATATAGATTGATAGCGTAACATAACATCTGTGTTGGCATTGGCATGTAGATGATTTCTAGAGATTCTACAAGAGACAGCATATATCATGTGTTACGAAACTTTCTGTTTTTGTTCAAATGATGAAATCGGTGGGAAGGGAGAGATGAACCATCAGATCTATTTAATTCATGTTGAACAATAGATGTTTCATACTCTCTCTGTTGCAAGAAAGATGTTTCATGCTTTTATTTGATCCGCAAACCGTAGAACAATAGTTCTACGGTATATTTTTCATATATTATCTATAGTATGTTACAAGGGGAAAGGACAAAAAAGAAAGGCCTGAGAGGCCAAAACAGAGTTAGGGGCTAGCCAATGCCTGCTCTTGGAAAAAAAAACATGATTTACAGGTTGCTATCTATCCACCAGTGAAAGGCATGAACATGCTTCTCTTTTATTTTGAATTGCAACAACTTGAGATCTTGCTTGATGTAATATCTCCAGGCCTGAAGATATTTTTGGAGATGTTTCATACTTTTGGAGGGGAAAGATACTTCTTTCCTTTTTTGAAAAATGATCATTTTTCTCTTTGGCTGATCTGCCTGTTTCGTGTAGCCATGTTGATTTATGGATCTGCACGTCTGTCTAACATTTGACGTTGTTTGGTTATCAGGTGATTGGGGCGGTTATTGGAGTGATGCTCATGCGATTCGCATTCCCTAAAGTAGGTAAAGGAGCTGCGTTAAGTGTCGGTGTTCATCATGGGGCTTTAACTGAAGGACTGGCAACCTTAATGGTCGTGATGGTGTCATTGACACTTAAAAAGAAAGAACAGGGGTTCTTTGTGAAGACATGGATTGCCAGCATTTGGAAAATGACGATTCATATCCTTAGCTCAGATATGACTGGAGGAATTATGAACCCTGCATCTGTAAGTGTTATCTACACCTAATGTCATGAGACTGTTGTAGAAATTAACCTCTTGAACTTGAACTACAACACATGTGCATAACTTCGATACGAATCTAATACAAATCATCGAAATAGTATGCATACACATATATGGCAGCACTAATTTTGTTCTGGTTGCCAGTACATTTCTGCTAGCCAGCACTCCATAATATTATGTTCCGCTGCAATGTGTGGTGATCAGTTGATATGTGAAATGTTCATATCATCCAAGTGTGCCATGGTGATATCAAACTTTGGCCATAAAATCAAACAGTTTGTAAGTTGTCTAAATGGTTTTACATGCATACATTTTTCTTGTCATCTCAAAGATGTTGCATTGATGCTTTCAAATACTTCAAAAAGGTCATGGTATATCACACCAACTAACAGTTTGACAGATGTCCACTGCTAGCAAATACTCCGTCCGTTCCAGAATATAAGGTGTATTGATTTCCGTGCAAGTCAACCATTTGAATATTTGACCAAAATAACAATATCCGCAATTCCTAATAGATAAAATATGAAACTACTCCCTCCGTCCCATAATATAAGAACTGTTTCAGTTTGAAAAACGTTCTTATATTATGGGACGGAGGGAGTACTTTTTATGATGGATCAAGTGATATATATTTCGTATTGTGAATGTTGACATATTTTTCTTAAAATATGGTCAAACTTGCACTCATTTGACTTTTGAAAAAACAAATACACCTTATATAAAGGAACGGAGGGAGTAGCTATCGAACTTAGTGATAAACCATGAATGCGTTTTTATTCACAGTAGAGTAACACCTGACATGCATTTTTAGCTTGCTACATCTAATTCTTGTGATTGAACTTCAGTTATCTAATGATTCACTTGTGTTATATTCTGCAGGCCTTTGCTTGGGCCTATGCTCGTGGAGATCACACATCATTTGACCACCTACTGGTATATTGGCTCGCACCCCTCCAAGCAACCCTTGTAGGAGTATGGGTGGTTACCTTCTTAACTAAACCCAAGAATACCAAGGAGCAAGCAGCAGATAAAAACAAGAACAAAAAGGAATAAACTTCAGGAAGTGAGCCATCGCCTGGTTGGGGAGTGGATGTACATACAGTACCAGCGCCTGGGTTGAAGTCCCCATGGGCTTGAATTTAGGTTCTATTTGGCTTTCCTTCAAGTATTCCTTCAAAGAAAGAAGGATCATTGTTATTGTGGGAGTGGTGTCCACCATTTTTTCTGGAGCAAGAACTCCAGATCATATTATCATTAATTATTCTAAAATGTTCATCTGTCAGCATGTTGAAGCCTTACCTCCGTCCCAAATTACTTGACTTTTTAGTGTTGGATACATCCGTATCTAGACAAATCTAAGACGAGTAATTTGGGACGGAGGGAGTAGTATTTTTTTTATGTGTGCTAAAATGTTCCAGGCATATTTTGGGAAACAGTAGGGAGGAGATGATACAACTCAATCGCGATCAAGACTGTTGAACTCATCACCTGTCTCGCACAGACTGACAATTGACATTTTGTTTTCCTGCAATTTATCAGTGTGTCCTGCAAGTCTCATTCTACATAGCGAGACTGGAAATGCAGTGTGGTCTAGGTCCTCTAGTTCCTAGAAAACCAATCAGTTTAGGATATCGTTGGCAATATACCATAAGTTAATACTCCTACATGAGTGGTGAATGCACACGAATAACAAAACATTCAGCACATATGATGGAGCTAACAGCCTAACAATGACAGCTGTTTCAACACCTATACAGCTATAAAACTGCTACTCCCTCAATTCACTTTTGTAAGTCATTCAGACAGCTAAAAATGGGCTGTTTTGTACATTATCTGAATTGTCTTCAAAGTCTTATAAAAGTGAATGGAGGGAGTAGTTTTCTTTAAATTGCATCGGTTGGTTATCAGCAGAAACTCTCAAAATTAAAACTGATGGATGTCAGTATAGAAAATCTGGTTGGGCCAGTGATGATGTTGGCAACTGACTACCTTTTGTAGTATTGTCGCTGCAGTTCAGCCATCCTGCTATCAAACAATTACTAACCTGAAAATTCGACCATGTTCTCCTTTTTCAGTCTAATAATTATTAAGTGCCCACACACACATCCAATTCTGGAAGATTCGTTTGAATTATTTCATGTTATATCCCGTCTATTCCCTCCGTCCCAACATAAGTGTCTTAAGCTTAATACAACGTACAAAGTTGAGGCACTTATTTTGAGACAAAGGGAGTATTACATACTCCCTCCGTTTCAAAATAGATGATCCAACTTTGTACAAAGTTACTACAAAGTTGAGTCGTCTATTATACTCCCTCCGTCCGGAAATACTTGTTGGAGAAATGGATGAAAATGGATGTATCTAAAACTAAATTGCGTCTAGATACATTCATTCCTCCGACAAGTATTTTGGGACGGAGGGAGTAGAACGGAGGGAGTACTAATTTATGCAGTAGTACTCCTATACCATCCAATTGGTTCATTTGGGTTGAATAATCCATATCCATATGTATTTATACAACGGTTTTGCTATATGATGTTCGTCTAAAAATATTGTACTCCCTCCGTTCTGAATTAATTGTCTTAGATTTGTCTAGATACGGATGTATCTAGACTCATTTTAGTGCTAGATACATCCGTATCTAGACAAATCTAAGACAAGTAATTCGGAACAGAGGGAGTACATATGATTTTCTTCATGCAGGGTTAAGAAAGAAAGAACTGGAATTACTAGTTCCTGTATTTATTTGTGTTTCTTTAGTTAACCAGCTCCTTTGTGAATTTGTACTTAGAACTTGGAGCTGGAGTTTAACGCCGGAATAGCAGACAAGAATTCCCCGCTCCAAATGGGGCTGCAAGGGAAGGTGTAATGGACCCGTTCTTGTGGTCCAGGTCCATGTGCTATGTTTTCTGTCTGTGTACAGGGAGGGCATGCGGCCCCTTCAAAGGTGTTTAACGTCATTCTCCTTGCTGCTGGTGGCCCAATGCAGACCCACTACGTTCGTGCTATTAATTTGTTCTCACATTGCTTTTCGTTTGTACTTTTTCTTTTCTTTTCTGGTGTGAGATTACTATCAAGCGGTTCCAATAATACAACAAATAGAAACATAACTTGTGCACAAATAGAAAAATGGGAGAAGGCGCAGCTTGGTATCATCCTGACATGATCATTATCGTTATTATTATCATTTTACAAAAAAAAGGCATGATTGTTATCTTGCACATGCATCTACTTGTTATTGCCGCTGCACTTTTATCATCGACGCTATTGAGTCTCCAGATCATGGATCGGATCTGTCTATGCTGACGAATATGCTTTGGATGCGACCGAGACATGTTGCTTGACAGTTGGGGATGACGAAGGTGCAATTTTAAGATGTAGTAGAATTTGTAGAACCCATTTTGACCGAGATTCATAGCATCATTCAAGTAAATACAAATTAGGATCGTCCTCTAATGATTCCTCGCAAAGAAAAAACAAAGAATCCTTAAATGATCGAGAAAGAAATGGAACGTTGGATTGTGTCAAAACGCTCGCACATGTTTGTCCGATCGCTGAAGCAGCTCGAACCTCCAATTCACGGCTCGTATATCATGGTCCTGATTGGAAATAAAAGCTGGAGTACGATGTATAGTGCTCCCTCCATTCCATAATGTAGTGTGTCCACGTTTCCCGAGATTCAAGTTTAACCGTAAACTTAATCAACAAGACCAATTGCGACGGGAGCAAAAATTATATCACTAAATTCATATTGAAAATACGAAATCAGTGATATAATTTTGCTCCGCTGCAGTCGGTCTCAGTAGTTAAATTTACGATCAAATTTGAATCTCAGAAAGCGCAAACACACTACATTGTAAAAACGGAGGGAGTACATTTTTTTTCTTTTGAAGAGAAAAGGCTGGGCAGCATGGTAGTGCGCATCAGTTGTCAGTTGTCAGGACGTCCAGTCCAGTCCATGAATGTCCTGGGCTGGCAATCACTAAGACATCGGCAGAGTATACTACTAGTACTGCACACTCCTTGTTGATAATCTATTTTAAGGTAATATATGGTGTGACAATCTAATCTACTCCCTATGTTTGTAAATATATAGTATGTTTTTAAAGATTTTAATATAAACACCATATAGATGTATATATATACATATTTTAAAGTATAGATCCATTCATTTTGCTTCATATTATTTCATATTGAAATCTCTAAAAAATACTTATATTTAAGAGGAGGGAGTTTGGAATCTCAGCTTTTTCCGGCCCCGTTGGATGTGCGTGGAGCAGCAACTAACGGTTGAGGGATGATGATCCTCCATGTCGTTCGTCTGATGATGCAAAATCAAACGGTTGAGGGATGATGACAGTACATCCCAAAGCTTCAAATGGTGCCGCGTGCAGGCATTCAGAAATTTGTCCATCGCGCAGCTACTGGACAACGACGACAAGTCGATCGTATTAGTAGGGTATGCTCTGTGAAGCGGACAAAACTCAAATGAGAATTCTACTCCGGCTCTTCATGTACGGACACTCAGTCCATGGTAGTGGACTAGTGGTACAGCGACCTGCATGATACAGTACACCCGAGATGGCATCTCCGTCGGCCTACATACGAGACGGCTGCACACGCCGGCCGTGTCGCGGTGCATCTGCCACAGCCCGCGAGTTTTGACCGCAGCCGCGCACAAGTGAAGTGAAGAATCTTAGAGCAAGTGCAGCCGCACGTATCAAACCCATCTCAAACGAGTGTGAAATGAAGAATGTCAGAGCAAGTGCAGCCGCACGTATCAAACCCGTTTCAAACGACTGGTCTGTTAGTGAAGAATGTAGAGCAAGTGCAGCCGCATGTAGCAAATCCATCTCAAACGACTGAGCGAACAGTCTGATCACTAACCGGTTACAAAAATTCGATTTAGACGGGCGTCTCAAACGCCCGGGCTGACCAACACCCCTCGTATTGGGTTGGATATAGGCGTTAGGGCGTCACATCGGACCCACCCACCCGGCCTCACATATATTTCTCCCCATTCGTTTGCCGGACCAGACACTACCCACTTCACTCGACTCTCCTTCACTCAAACTGCCGCCCGGCGATCTCTGACCTTCTCCGGCATTGCGGGCAGCGGATCCGAGTCCTTCACCTTCAAATCCGTCGACCCCGAGCTCATCTCACGCGGCCTTGAGGTGGAGATGACCGTTCGGCTTGCGCTCCGCCGCTCCCGGGAGGAGGCCCGTGCGAGGCAGCGCTCGGACTCCTTCCGTCGGAAACCCATTGCATCCATCCAAATGGCGCATGGATCTAGCGCTAGGTGTGCCATCGCTGCCTCACCAGAGGCAGTGCAGTCCGTCTGGCATCCGAACGCGGTGGCCGACACGCAACCCCTTCGTTGGCGCACCGAGGCCATGGAGGCACCATGGGGCATCATCCGACGCAAACATGGTGCGACGTGCCCGCCGTGCGAGGCAAAGGGTGCGGCAACCCTCGCGGCGTTGGACATCGGCGAGGCGGAGTCGCATTCTCTGACGCCGTCATCACCATCGCACGCACGGGCTTTGCCCGGTGCCATCCGGGGGAGGAAGGAGAGCCCCTCGGCCGTCGCCATCGCACGCACGGGCTTTGCCCGATGCCGATCACCGGCAGCGGCGGAGGGGGAGGTGAGCACTGGGGAGGGCTAGGCGGCGGCTGTTGAGACCACCAGTGTCACCAGCGAGGGGGGCGACGCGAGAGGCAGTCGCGAGAGCAGAGTTTGTTAAACCTAGCCTCCTTAATGTGTACGTATTTCTTGATGTGTGCTAAAATGTTCCAGGCATATTTTTGGAAAGAGTAGGGAGAAGATGATACTACTCAATTGCGATCAAGACTGATGAACTCGTCACCTGCCTCACACTAACTAACAATTGACATTTTGAGATCCTGCAATTTATCGGTGTGTCACGCAAGTCTCATTCTCCATAGCGAGACTGGAAAAGCAGTCTGGTCTAGGTCTTAAAGTTTCCAGAAAACCAAACAGTTTAGAATATCGTTAGCAATATACGCAGGAAGTTACCATCGAGTTGATA